TTAATGATAATAACTAATAATTGAACGATAATTTTTGTTATATGATATGGTGAGATAATCATTAACACTTAATTACATATGTAATAGGTAATATATGTTTCTGTTGATTGACATTTGAAAATTAGCAGATCCTTGATGTCAACCACACTTCATCAAACCAGTTAGTGTCACTCACTATCTTTTGTATTATCTTCTTTCGCTGCCACGAAGCCATAATATTCGCCATGTAGCCATAAATTCGTCATAGAGCCATATAGCCACAAATTATCAGATCCTTGTTGTCAACCGCACTTATTCAAAGCAGATAGTGTCATTATCTTTTGCATTAACTTCTTTCGCTGTAACGAAGCCATAATATTCGTCGTTACTTATTTACAGGACCGCGAAGCCGTAATGTTCTTATTAATGTCTTTTCAGCCGCCTCGAAGTTAGCTTGTAAACACTTCACTGTCTTTCATACTGTTAAAGGATTTGTCAAAACTTATTCTTTGAGAGATAAAAGAGTAAGATTTTGACTGAGCCTGTTTATTAAGTATGGTGACCGAATTTCGGGAAAGATTTTTTTAAAATTGTTGATGATGCATAACTAAAGTCCGAAACAAGAAAATTTTGAATCGAAATTCTATAACCTGTGTGGAACAAACGTTCAGAAAATGTTGTTTTTCATTTTTTTTAAAAGTTCATTTTTATCAGTTATGTGGAAACTGAGAGAAATATTCAGTGACTTGCACAATTTCCAAAATTTACTCTTAATGAAAATCTTTAAATTAAACAGAACGATCTGTCAAACTCTAACATCCAAAATAACAAAGGCTGTAATTACATGTTACGTGCAATTGCACAGAAGTTATAATTAACGTTATGTGATTCCAAAAGAAACTTTATAGATGCTCATTAAAGTATACTATAGAGCTATACATCATTTATAAAAATTGTTGGCATCAGATTAGTGACAATATGAATTCTGATCTTTTGTAAAGTTTCACAGAATTTTAATTTACCAGGTATTCATTTGTTACATTTTACTTTTGATTTCCACTGCAAAAAGTATCATTAAAAGAGTAGTATTTATATAATACATATGAGGTTTATTTTCTGTTATTAGACTATAGCTGTCTTTTATATCTGAAAAAATATTAAGTAAATAAATACATATTATTTTAAACATCTATTAAAATTTCCTTTTAAGTTTCATTATTATCTTAAAGTAATATCGAAACATACCAGACTGTTTTAATCACTCAACAAACTTTGGTCCTTCAGTTGATGACTGTGACCGCCACTGTGAATATTTACGTGAGAATCATCTGGAACGCCAGATTCGAATATTTTGGCTTCGTTTAACGTAGTATTATATTTCAATCGCATACAGTATCGTCTCGCGCAAAACGAATTTCTGTAATACAGTTCAGAGGTATAGGGTGGCCCAGAAGTCACTTTACATTTTGAAAATTAAATAACATTTTCTTAAATGACTGTATTTAATTAATTCTTTTTTATTTTTTGCTTATTCACATGTCCATTCAAATGGAAATGAGCTTCATCTCCCATGATCAACTTGTGAATAAACTCATTGTCATTTCTTGCAGTTCTCTGAAACCTGACAGCATAATTTACTCGTTTCTGAAAGTCTGCTGGTTTTAAAGATTGCACTAATTGAACCTTGAAAACGCGTCACTAAGTTCCTTATTGCAGGCCTACTAGGGGAATGTCGAACATTAAAATGGCGCGCATATATGCGTTGCAACAATTGACCGTCCATTTTCAAAGTAAAATTCAATTATCTTCACTCGTTGTTCTGTTGTGTAAACTTATCCATGCCAAAAATTTCCAGGGATTATATTTTTTAATTCTGAAAGAGAAAAAAAAAGAAATATATTAATAGAAAAAAAGTTATTTAATTTTCAAAATGTAAAGTGACTTCTGGGCCACCCTATATTTAACTATGTGAAACTATGACGAATTTTAGTGAAAGATGTGCTGTAGTTTACCACAAACGTTTAAAAACGTCATAAAATATTATAATCGTTGTGCGCGTTTTCGGTGCATTTTTAAATAGACTAAAATCATTTGCATTTTTAGACAATCAAATATAAAAGTGTTTGAGAGAAGGAAGTTTTAAAAAAAGCGGTTTTAATTTTAATAATAGTTATCGTCTCACTGCCGCCTGACTCTGTGCAGTTAATCAAATCTAATTCTGTAATAGGTGATTCATTTTATCAGTACCAATGTAATCACGATTTTTTTATCTCTTCTTCGGCAGTACATTTAATGATCCTAGATTAAATGATACGTAGACATTTCTGAAATTAACCTTACTGTGAATGTCTTAACCAAAATATTTGTTTCATTTTAGAGCACCTTGTAACATTACTGTTGATCTGGAAATTATATTTTAATCCTGAAGACCTTAGTATAGGGTTTAGAAAGTTAATCGCTATGTCTCAAAACTTACAAAGCACTGAAGAAGGTTTTAAAAAGACCTTTTTATTTAATCTGAACTTTTAACACTGAAGGTACTACTTGGGCTACAAACCATCTAAATTAAGCAGTAAAATGTTGTTGATAAAGTAGTTTAAGATTACATGGTCAAATAAATAATCTATAAGCTAGCGCAATTAATTTTACTGGGCTTAAGTCTAAAATGTAGGCTGGAAAAGAATGCAAAAGCCAGAATAATTACTTCTAGATAGAGCTGGATAAAATCTAACAGCTCGGCGCAACTGTCAGAATCTCTAAGATTTAAAACCCTTAGCTCACATACTGTACAGCCTAATTTGCATTTTGGTGAGGTATACGGGAACAAGAAGTCACTGTACAGATTAGTATCATAATAACTGGTTAATTAACATAAGAACTTTACAACCTACTGTAAAATTATTAAACTTTAATATTTTAATACTGTTTGAACTTTGCATACATTTCTTTAATCTCCAAGTATTCTTTGTATGATGTCAACATAGCTTTTATGATTCTGCTTAATCAGGTTATTTCACTATCGTTTTTCTTTCGTGAATTTTATCGTTGCCATAGGGACTTCTGCAAACCCAAGTTGTATATATTTCTGAACCCAACAATAGTGAGCGATATATTATTTGTCAAAATTGTTATATTTTAATAATATTAATTTTTTTGAAAAAAATTAACGCATCGTTTACTCTTAATTTTAGAGAATATGTTTTGCTTTAAAAAAAAGGCGGTTTTTGATTATATTACAGAAGGTGTTTGTTCACACATTTTTGTAACGAGTTTGATTTTCTCCGTGAATTTAAATATTAGTTTTACAATACAAACGGGACTGGCATCCAATTGGAATAAATTAAAAATATTTTTTATTTAAAATATTGCTGAAAAATAAATAAAGGATTGAGGGCTATATTTTTGCGCTGAAAATTCACACATTTTTGTAAAAAATTCACACATTTTTGTAACGAGTTTGATTTTCTCCATGAATTTAAATATTAGTTTTACAATGCAAACGGGACTGGCATCCAATTGGAATAAATTAAAAATATTTTTTTTATTTAAAATATTGCTGAAAAATAAATAAAGGATCGAGGGCTATATTTTTGCGCTTCCCGAAGAGAAATACTCTTATTAATTCAATTATTAAACAAAGATGCGAAAAGCATGGTTTTAATATTTCGACACGTAAAATAAGGGACGTAATTAATATGAAAAGAAAAAAAGTTTGCATCTGACAGAGAAAAAGGTAAAAAGTGCATACCCGACAAAGGCATGTACAGCTTTTATTAAATTTAATGTCGCACCTCATGCTTTAAAGGAAAATCCCGCCCCTCAAAAAAGCTATTACAAAATATTTAAATATCTTCGTAGGAACCATGAATAAAATTATAAAATCTGATTTAAAGCTAATCAAAATTTTAAAAAAATGATGTCCGTCATCTAACGCCAAAACATGTTTCTCGGCGTAAGACTATGTGCAGATTGCTGAATGAAAATTATTTGGCAGGTAAACAATAGAAATACACAGTTACAGTTTATGACTTCTGAATATACTTACTCGATTGTAATACATTAAAAGATCGATTTACTACCGAAAAAAGAGGAGAAAAAGACTTAATATGTTGGCTCAGAGAAACAAGGAAGATTTTTCTAAAGATTTTGGTTATTACTGGATTTTCTTATAACGGAAAACTTAAAATATCGAAAGTAGAAAAAATATCAAAATTAATTCAGATTATTATCAGAAATATCTTTTAACACCTATTTTTAAAGAAGAAATTTCATCTCTTCATCCAAACAAGCTTCACTCTGTTAAGTTCCATCAGGATAAGTTCTCAAAACCAAACGTCTAAATCTACTGTATTTTTTGACAAAATGAAGAACGAAACCGTAATTGAAGCGCTTTTCCCTTTAAATACATCCCACTCAAGTCCCCCGATGTGTCATCTATGGATTATTGTGAATTTGGACTCTTAAAACAAGCTCTTTATAAGCGGCATCACAAAACATTGGATGGAATCTAGAAGATTGTAAAGGAGGAGTGGAATAAAATCAACCCTGATGTTTTAATAAAAGGACTTTTATTTGTAAATCAAGATGTAATATGATTGTTCACCAAAAGCTCTATTAGACTGAACGTATTAGAAAATAAAATTTAAATGTTTGTTTATACATTGGCTACAAGCCATCTAAATTATATTAATCTCATTATATTATCATAATCATAATCTCATAATCATAATCTAATCTAATCATAATCATAATCATAATCATAATCTATTATATTATCATAATCTATTATATTATCATAATCTCATTATATTATATAATCATTATATTAATCTTTGCAAAATTGTTACAAAAATGTGTGAGTACCCTCTTCTGTATTTATAAATGATGCTGTTAGTCTGCAGTTTAAAAAAGTTGTTTTTTCTTCAAATATTTTAACCTGCTAGCCATTTCCATGACTAAAGTGTTTTTCAATGTTTTCCTTTGTATAAGTTATTTTACAATAGACATCCATTCTTTTCCAGATTTGAAGCTCCAGCCGAAGCGTTAGGCTTAGTATGTACAGCCTTAGTCGTCTTCCTCTTGATATTCATTCCCAAGGCAGTGCAGTTAAGTAATTCCCGGAGACATCTTGGTATGGGCTCCTCCACAGTAGGCAGTCATTCCGTGATCCATACACCATCATTTCTGCACCTCCAGCCTCATGCTGTGTTGCCCAGCAGCACACAGGGAACGCTTGTGAAGCAGTCACATGTTAATGCAGGTTTGTATTTTATAAATGGGCTTATTCATAGCATTATATTGAATGAAAGTTTACTCAATCGACCATTGTTCTGAACTCAGTTGGCTACAGTGCGAATCGAATCGTGTAAAACCTCACAGAAATGCATAGAAAAAATAAGTGTTGACACTACTCTTTAGCAAGTCAAAATAAATTATGATTATCAGTGCTGTTCGCAAGGGATGTTCATACATATAGGACTTTCGATGAACACAGCTACATTCTTTAAACAGACTGGACGTCGATAGAAGTCCTTCGTGGAGATGTCGATAGAAGGGTTCTAACACATTGGCTGGAAAATAAGTCTTACGTTTCCATAGTTCTTAATATAAAGAAGTAGCTAATTTCAGTGAATTATTCATTATATTTAAGTTAATTTTAGAACAAACTCTGTATCCTTACAGGCAAAATTCATAAAATATTAGAAAATGCACTGAATGACTCATTTTATCCTTAAGAGCTAAAATGAACATTTTAGCTCTTCTTTAAGCTGCTCAGTAACACATGAAAGTCTTCTTTCTAGACTTGTCGCCTGACAGCATTTCGTCTATCTGGGCAATTTTGTTTTTACGTTGCTTTGAGCAGTTAAGCCAGTAAGGAGATGTAATAAATTGTATCTATTTGAAGACCTCCATTTGTTTGACAACAAACACAATAATTTGCAAATTTTATGATTCCTTTATTTTGTAGGGCTTAATTTTTAAATTTATGCAATAGTAGTAATAATAAACAAGAGGTCTACTAGCAGACAGAAAGTAAGTGTGAGTGATTAAGTATGTCACTAAAATAATGAACAAAAATAAATATTGTGTCTTAAAAAATATAATTAATGAAGAAAGAAAAGAAAGCAATTGATTGTGAAAACGTGTGTATGTACGTCATGAAACTGTGGTTTGAAGGTGGCAGAGTGGAAAGCACGATGACGCAATTTAGCACAACATATCTTGAAAAATCGCAATCTTTATTTTTTCCATGCGTATCAAATCATCCTATTTCAGATAAGATACTTTCCTTAATTATATTTGAATAGAATAACTCCCATTTTGAAGTACGACGTCATCTTAAGCGAAGTAAGCAGCAGCATGGATGAACGAGCGTCTTGCCAGCAGGAGAGCTAACGCGGTAAAAAGGGAAAAGTTATAGTACTTTCATAGGAAGAAGGCTGGGAGTGGGAGTTTCAGTTCACAGTTTTGGTTTAGAATTAATTTGATTGGACGAAGAGGCATCTGCATTAAAACGTTACATAAGATAGAAAAAGTCTGGAACCTGTGAGAAGAGATAAATTTAGGGGCAGATTACCAAATTTGGAATGTTAATTTTGAGGTTGTCAATTATTTTTTTGAAACAGCTATCATATTTTGTTATATCTTACATATATATATATATATAGTATGTATGTAAATATATATATATATATATATATATATATAGTAACGTGTGTATGTATATATATATAGTATGTATATAAATAAATATATATATATATATATAGTAACGTGTGTATGTATATTATATATATATGTGTGTGTGTAGATTACTTATATGTCAACATATAATGAAACATATATGTTGTTTTATTATATATACATATAATGAAATATTACATATAATTAAATTTTTAATAAAGCGTACATTTTAAGTACAGGGAAAAAAAAAGAAGTTTCACCGCTTTATAAATAGCGTACAAATCTAATGAATATATTTATATAATAAATTGGCTAATATAAAAATTATTATATTATACTTAAATAAAAGCATGCAAAATTATTATATGTTACATAAATTTATGTAACATAAATTATTTTACACATTTATTATGTAAATATTTTAGAATTTACAGAATCTCACTCTTTTGGAAAGCATACTTTAAATTGACACTATGAAATAAAGCCCCACCACTTGTCACATGACCAGTTGGGCATAACATTAAGCATAACATAGGTGTAAAAGACCCTTTAATTAAGAGCTGAAATAATTTAACAGAAGGCACTTCTTATGCTTACAAAACCAGCCAGCATTTAGGACATAACTAAGAAATAAAGAATTTCAAGTAAGATTAAACTAAGTAGTTAGTTAGCCAAAGACTATGGAGAAATTATTAACGGTCAAGTTGGCTCAAACCTACTACAATCTTAGAATGTTAATTAGTAACGTGGTCTTCAGCAGGCGAAACACGCTCTGATTAAACAGTCTGAAACCTTCTTTTTAATCCTATTTATTTCGACCTCGTTTTAATACACGCGAACTAATACTAGGATTCTGGCAGTAAAAGGAAGCTGAGAAATGACAGTATAGGTTCTAAACATAAAATAACTGCTTAGATAAAATAAATACCTTACAAATTTTTAAATTAACTGACATCTATTAAATACAGAAACAATAGTGTGTATGTTTTCTGTGGAAAAATCATATAAGTTCAGCTCGGCGATATTCGAAATAACAAACTAATGTTCGACGGAGAATGTGGTTCTTTGGTGTATATGCTTAGCGGTGGATATAGGTTGAGCGACTTTAAAAGACGCAAAATAACTAAAAATAAGAAATCGAAAATGTGTAAAAATGCAAACAGACAAAATTAGAGTTTTCTTGTATGTCATTCTCCTCCAACCACATAAGACTATAATAGTCCTCTTTAAACAGAAAAAAATATTCTGCCAGATTTAGTAAATGTTAAAAAATGAGTAAAAAATGCACCGATGTATAGAATACAGTAACAAATCACTTACATTGAGATGAAAAAAAAATTCTGTCACTTACAAAGAAATCAATCGGAGATTACGATCTGAAATAAACTAAATTTATTAAAATAATAAAAAGCCTTCATTAATTCTCGGCATATGTTATTGAGTGAGCAAAATAATACTAATTCAATACCGTCAATGCTTTTTAAACAAGTAGTTGGCATTTGTATATTTCATTCGTTGTCGCCAGATAAGTCTCAAACAACATTTTATCCCGTCATGATCAATGATCATGATTCGTGTCACAGGGCCCGAAGACATGTATCTGACGTGCCGTTGATTTTTTTTCCCGTGTAGATGGACTGGTGCTGGTGCCACAGATGTCGAGACATACTCGTTTGGATATATGTCTTCACGTGCAGATGAGCCTTTAGTGATATAATAAACATTTAAAACCAAATTTAAGTTCAAAATATTTAGGACAAATTCAGGGAGCAGTTACGAAGAAAGGTTTGCTGTTTTGACGATTAGTAATTCCGTTTTGGGTAACACAATAGTTTTGAATTTCGTAACTGACTCATGGAAATTTTTTGCCAGGTGCGTGTTTGCGATTTTGAAGGTAAAGATAAGCAGTTTTTATTTTTAACTCTTATTAAAGCTTATATAATCATAATTACATAATGTGAGAACAAAAACAAAAAAAAATATTTCCCCATCTCATTTCAGATACGCTTTAATTTTCTTTTGACGAAACTCAATATTGCTTATACGGAAAAAACAAATTTGAAATGTCTTTCGTAAATGCAATAAGTAAGTTTCGCTTACAATTTTATGTGTAATTTTTAAACTATCGTATGTCAGTTATTCCCAAAGTGTGAGTTGGAAGACACATTTTGAGAGGGGGGGGGGAATCATGAAGAGATTTAAATGCTTTTTTTCTTATTGTATTAAAGGCAGTCTTCGATTTAAGACGAGCTCCGTTCCAGAGGTCCCGTCGTAAACTGATTCTTAGATAAGTCGTAGATATGTTTTGTTCTTTAATGTCTCGAGTAATATTACTATTAAGTAAGCTTTTATTTAATGCTGGTAATTAAAAGTGATTTTAATTTTACTTTCGGAATTCAATGTGCTTAATAAAACAACTTGATCGAAGGTTAATAAATTCAAATATTGAAAACTGAATTATGCTTTCTTAGCGTGCCTTCGTGTTGTACTGGTCTGCACGCTGGGCGCGTGCTCCAAAATTCCGTCGTTCGATTCCCGGCGAAGGCGTTGCTCATTTTGCATCTTTCCTGCTTCCAAAAAATTACCTAATGTTTTTACAACCTACATAAACATTTCAATCATCCTGTAAGCTATTATTTTACATGTAGGTACTTAACATTGCGGCTACCGTTTTGTAAACGACGTCAAGATCATCTACAAATCGCAAACGGAAAACATTTCCAAATGGCCGGCAATCCTAAGGACTATCTTGTATAGTTTACACGTGATAATAAGAGCTCAGTGTAATCGAATTTATGAAAAAAAATATTTTACTTGCCGAGAAAGGCGGAAGATGTTATATCTTGCTTCGGTACTTACGGAAAATCCCGTCGACCATTTTTGCCTGTTAAAGAAAATACGCCAAACTACGCAATTTTTCGCCAAAAATGGAAAAGTCTTCTTCAAACACGCTTGATTTTGGTATTACGTTGATTACACGTGTTAGTTATTGTTTTTTAATAAAGACTCCCCTTTTTTCCCTCTATCACGCATTATCGAGAAAAAAAATGATTAAAATTTTGGATCTGCCTATTGCAGAAGAGCATGATGTTGAATATTTCCAAAGTTATGGAATCTTACTGGCCTAAAAAAAAAAATGTGTTAATGGCCACAAAATGGCGCTGTGTACATAATATTAAACTTGGAATTACCGCCAAAGCGGACAACACAACGGCATTATGCATGTAACTTTTAATGTTTATTTATGCATGTAATTTTTAATGTTTATTTATGCATGTAACTTTTAATGTTTATTTATGCATGTAACTTTTAATGTTTTAGTTAACTTACTTCTGTAAGCCCCGTGTTGTACATATGTGGTGCACGGGGAGTCTGTATGTTCTCAAAGGAAAACAAATATAATAAATTTGAATGCAAAATAAGAATAGAACGTTTTTCTTGTATTTAGTAAATGGTTTTTTTTTGGTTTGTCGCCATTGGGGCCGTCTCTTGTGGTCGACTGGACTTTCCGTAAGTACCCTTTCTTCCAAGAACACACATTTTACCTCACATTCGAACATGTGAAAATGGCATTGA